AATAATGATAATAATAATAATAATAATAATAATAATAATAATAATAATAATAATAATAATAATAATATTATTATTATTATTATTATCCATTTTCTGTACCCACTTTTCCAAGCAGAGTCCCAGAGAGGCTGGTGCCTAGCTCCAGTTTTCTCCAGGCAACCTGGACAGGTTGCCAGTCCATCGCTGGGCAATACAGAGGCACAGGACAACCAACCAAGTACACACACACACACACACACACACACACACACACACACACACACACACACACACACCTAATGACAATTTAGAGAGACCAATCAACCTGACTGTCATGGTTTCGGACTGGGAGGGAGCCGGAGTACCCGGAGAGAACCGAGGTGTGCACAGGGAGAACATGCAAACAGCAACAGCACTAACCACTGCTCCACTGTGCAGCCCTATTATTATTATTATTATTATTATTATTATTATTATTATTATTATTATTATTATTACATGACATGGTATTCCCCTAAATAAAATCCATTTCTTCCTTACATAAAATGTTTCTGCTCTTGTCAAACAGCTCAGCATTAATAAACCTGATGTTGCATTAATGTAATTAGTTTATTATAAAGTTGTGATGGTCCCGCCCAGTAGAACTATGTCTACAGTCTCTCATCCAACATGTGGATCCATCACAAAGTGAACTGAACGATGACTCGTTTCCTCTAATATCAAAATCTCTCACCTGGAATGATCTCTGCAGACCTCAGGACGGCGCTGCGTCCGTGAGCTTCTCGTGGAATCAGAGGAGGACTGTCAGCATGACGTGAAGCCGGGACTGGGCAGGGTTGTGTTTCAGCCTAATTGGGATCATACGCCACATGTGCAGTTTTGGCACATTCATTAATCAGTCTCTTTAATTGTTGAGGGATATTCTCCTGCGTGTGGTTTAGCAGTTTCTCTTCTGACACGACCCCCTCCAACACCCCACCCTATAAGACCTCCAAGCATTTGCTGAGTCCAAGCATAGACCTTTTAACACCCGCTTGCTAAAGATCGGGGTCACCCTCTCTCACTCCGGAGCCCCATGAGGGCTCTTCTAATGATTAAATTGTGGTTATTCCAAATCTGCAGAATCCTGGCAGCTGACTCTTCCCCCTGATTGTAATTTATGTCGGAAGTCATTGCTGACCAACGCTTTGCCCCATTGAAGGCTCAGGAGAAGGAGATCGCACGAAGCCTGAATGCTGCAGGTTTAATCAGACGTGTGTGTGTGTGTGTGTGTGTGTGTGTGTGTTCCTAACATGTAAAAAACTACCTTTAATTGTCACATTGATGTATTTTGAAGGCAATGTTGCAGACATCAGAGCGCTCCTGTCCCCTTGGTTTGAGCTGCTGAGTGTTGTACCGTCTCACTAGGTCCCAGCTTTAGAGGGAACAGCACCAGAGCTCCATGTGCCACAGATATGATGCAGTGAAACGGTAAACGTGCACTGAAACTCTAAAAAATAGCTGGTGCAAAAGTTCATTTATGTCAGTGATTCAACTTAAGAGACAAACTCGTTCCATGCAAATCCAGATTTTTCTGTCTCTATTTGTTATAACTGTGATGATTATGGCTTACAGCTGATGAAAACCCCAACGTCTCAGTCACAGACAATCAGAATCCTGTGAAAAGGTTCAATATCCTAGACTCAAAGTGTCAGCTGATGAATCCAGAATAAAGGGTTCCTGAGCCTTTGGATGGTTTCACAGTCTGAGCTGGAATATTGACATAAATGGACTTTTGCACCAGATTCTAGTTTTTCCGTTTCACTTACTTCTACATCTCATAGGTGTTTATTTAAATGATAGGAAATGAGCAGACTGGGACACAAAAGGGTATAAACAGTTGTGTTTTGGTCATGATGAAAGCACCACGCTGTGTTTATAACCTGATCTTTCTTGAGGTCTTTTCTTTTATCGGTCCTGTCTTTGATGAAGCAATGTGAAGCTGCTGATGATAATCACCTCGGCTCCATCTTACTGGAAAACAAAACAGATAAACTGCAGCGGGAGATCATTTTAAATGAATAATTATGAAATCCTCAATGAACACGTTCTTCCTGTTGTTCAAAATAAAATAAAAAGTTCAGCTTTTTTAATTATTTCAGCTGAATTTTGACGTTTTCATCAGAAACACAAAGATTGTGCAGTTTACTGAATCTGGATCGGACCTGGCGTGACCCGGTTCCGTTAACCCGGACTTGTGATGATTATGAAAAATCAAACCGACGCGGTCCCGCAGGCGGTGGGTTGTAGGGATTTAGTGTCTGTGACGTTGGTCCTGTCCAGAACCAGAGCGGGTTGTCGGGATTAATGGGTTTATTAAATGTTCCGGCTGTGGGACTTTATTTAGTTGTTAAAGAATTTAGTCTGAGATCAGAAAGATGCGGTAAGGCATTTATCTGCATCTTCAGCCGTAACACACACCGGCGGTCCCGGTGCTGGTTCCGGTCCAGACTCGTGTTGTTTGTGAGAAATGAAACGGATC